CGATGGTGTGGTTGTTTCCCTTCTTAGGTCCACCACCATGGCCACGGCCGTTGCCGTTCTGTCCGCCCCGCCCTCTGGATGACCCGTGACCGCCTCTGCCACGGCCTCTGTGGGCTCTGTTGGCACGTACAGCATCCCGAGCTATGCCCAGGTGCCAGCACTCCCCAGTCGAGCGATTCGACATGCCACATATGTCGCATTTGGTGGAGTTGCTGTTGGTCATCACCTCATCGCGGGTCATTGCAGAGTGAGCGACGGGGGGCATGACAGACTCGCCATTGTTGGTCATGACTATGTCGTTCTGTGCGCCGGCAGCTGAGCTGCTCGTGTTCGCATTCTGTGCAGACCTTGGCAGGTTCTGGTCACAGTGGTTGCGCAGCAACTGCTGAAACGCAGCGAAGTTCTTGTTCGCCTCGTTTTCTGGTTGCAGATTGAGGAAGGCCAGGGGTTGTTGGTATGCCTGTTTGGGCATGATGGCCTTGACGGCGGCTATTTTGTCGGACCAAGCCATACACGAGCTTCTCGTGCTGTTCGTCCATCTTGGCGCGCTGAGTCTCGAGGGACTTCAGCTGCTCGAACCTGCCGATCATGTACCCGAGGTTTGGCTCGAGATTGGATGCATCGCCCTTCCACTGGTACGTGCGGATGAGGGTGTGCAGCTTCGACAACTTAGAGGGTGACACCTGGTTGTACTTAGCCATCAGAGCTCGCCAAGACAGCCATCCATCCACCTTTAACAGTGGGTCTTTGTCTTCCTCTGCTGCCTCTATCTGTGCGTTTTTCACCAGATTGAAGGCAGTGTCGTTGCCCTTGCAGGCAGTCAAGAGCTCAGCGTGAAGGAGATAACGCTTGTGGATCTCGTCCTTCTGCTGCCTGCTCAGCGTCTCCCACTCCGCGTGCTCTTGGTTGTAAGCATCAGTCCACAGGCCAGTCTCGGAGTCGTTTTCTACTTCAGGCCTGTCGCCGACTTCTGTCAGCTGGGGTCTCTCGTGATGCACCTCGTCAGCCACGACGTCAGCCAAGCCATTGATCGACGCCCACGACTCAAAGTGCGTCTTCCACTTCTGGAAATCATCCCCGTAAGCCTTGAACTCACTAGGAAATGCCCATGGACGTATCTTTGAGCTAGTGTCATCGCTTCCGCCTTCATTGCCACACACCCAACGACCAACCAGCAAGGTAGGGATGCCTATGAGTACGAGCAGCTTGACAAACACATCGAGTGTGTGTCTGCATCCTTTCTGTGTCAGGTTGGCTGGTGAGATTGGCAGCGCGTGCACTCGTGGCAGTATCACGCCGACGATGAGCAAGAGCAGTCCAGTGTAGCCCAGACCAGTTGCTCTCTGGTTAATATACCACACAGCCAGGATAGCGATAGACGGATAGACGATAGCTGTCATAGTCAGGTTGACGACAAACGTTGCTGCGCACCCTAAGTAAGATGCCACATAGCTGACGAATGCCGTTGTCATAGCAGTCATCTGCGTCACCATGGTCGTCAGGGTCGTCAGTAGATACCCCACATAAACAGCCACATAAACAACCAGCAGATGGACCACATAATAGACAATAAGCACAACCACACAGCTTGTCAGGAAAGGCAGCATAACAAAGCACCACGTGACGTAGCAGCCTCGCGCGACTTTGTTCAGCCATTTCAGGAACCTCCATGTCCTCTGTTCTGACATCAACACCCAGAAAGTGACGTAAGTTACGCCAGTGCCAGGACGTTCCGCCACTCTATGGTGACGTTTCCTATGTGTATCTCCAGCTTCATGAGCCACACAGCAGTGTCCTTGATAGTCATAAGCGTGCCGGGTGCCCCATTGCAGAGGTCGAGGCCCACAGCAGCCAGTAGTAGCCACAAGAGAGACAACCCGGGGTCAGTCAGGTAGTGTCCCAGCCGCAACGACAGACGAAAGAGAAAACCTGAGCTCATCTTTGTGAGACACGGCCAGAGAGTGTTTGTTTCTTCTGTCTCTCTCTGTCAGTCAGTTGTCGTTGTCGATTTCTGCTGTGTGTCCGCCAGTCACCAAGCGCTTCGGCTCTTAACCTGTCGGATAAATAGCGTGCCCAGTTTGCTCGTAGAGTAGTTGATGACCAAGCAGATGGAGTCAGATTTTTTTCTCTTTGGAAAGACCCAGTGTGCCTAACGCTATGGCGTTGGGCTTCCGCTAGAATAGTAGGCTCCGTTTCACGAAGCTACCTAACAAAGCGTGTATTTCCCTGGGCTCTGGCCAGGGGTAACTGGCCAGACGGTGTATCTGTGGGTTCTGCTGCTCGTTTCCCGTAGCAGCCTAAGCTCGGGCTTGAGTGCCCTTCGACACACCGAGACATTCATTGTGCACACCAACTACAAGCGTGCACAGGCGAATGAATAAATACATTCATCGCACACGCCAGCCAACACAAGCGTGTGGAAGCGCGCGGACAAAAAAGCATTTATGCCGAGGGGGGACGGCTCTGCGGCGTGGGGGAGGCCCAGGGTGGCGCATCTCAGGAGCGGCTCGACCAGATCTACGACTTAGTCCAGCAAACGACTCGTATCAGCGGACGGCCGTGGGTTTCGGTCTGGAGACCTCGTGAGTGTGTTCCTTGGGTTCCTCTGTGCATGTGGAGCGTGCGTGGGTGATTCCTGTTGCGTGTCGTTCGTTTGATTGTGCGTGAAAGACATGGGACTTGGCCATCAGGCCGCCTAGGACATTGCGTGAAACCGCTCACACAAAGCATTCATTATATGCGCCCGCCAACTACAGGCGTGGGGATCGTGTCCGAGATCAACAATGTGAGGGGAATATCTCCTCACGTTGCCTGTGGTGGGCGGCGCCAATGCCATCATCACATTCGCCTCCTCGTGAGCTCCACATTGTTGTGCGGGTCGCCCTCCCTCTTTACAAGACGAACAATGCAGCCTTTCAACGCCGGCCATGCTGGACCTGAGTCGCCCATGCGACAGGAATCGGCCCATGCGCGCCCCACGAGTGTTGTTATGCTGCTTGTTTACGCCGCCTGCCTGTGTTCGACTGCGCCAAGCCACCTGACTTCGCCCGTGCGCCCACTCCCCTGCCCTTCGGGCGTCACCGCTGCACCCACGGTTGCCAAGTGCCACGTGAGCAACCATTCTCGTCCGCCCAGCACACCCAGCAGCCGATGCATCCCTCGGCCCGGCTACCAACATGTGTCAACTATCCCGCCCTTTGCATGAGCCGTCGGTCCAAGTTTGCGCCTCGTGCGCTGACGGACTCTCGTTTCGGGATGCACCCCAGCGACGCCCACCACTGCCGAGGACCACGTGCACGACCACCTTCACCCACCCAGCAGCTCATCATCCCTCGGCCCGGCTACCAACATGTGTCAACTATCCCGCCCTTCGCGTGAGCCGTCGTTCGAACTTTGCGCCTCGTGTGCT